TTTTAGCGAAAATCTTAATCAGCTAGAACCCACCTTTATGTATTCGGAATTACTCAAAAAAATTCTTCTTAATATGGAACATGGTCAAGAAGCCATCAAAGACTTGGTCAAGTTTTGCCGAGAATTATATCAGGAAAACAACCAAGAACTCAAACTTCTGAAAGAATTTAAACAAACTTATCATTCATCATTGGCTATTTCGTGGTATACACGCGGATGCTTTACATTCAAAATGCTTAATCGAGCTTTACGAACACTCGATTGTGACATAATAATCAGAATGGGATTTTATCTTTGTGATATTCACCGACAAATCGAAAGCCTGCACCAGAAACAGCTCGGTCAATATCATGGGAAGTCATTTTTTGTTTATCGAGGCCAAGGATTATCGACAGGAGACTTCGAAAAACTGGCAAAAAACAAAGGTGGACTTATATCATTCAATAATTTTTTATTCACCCGTAAAAGTCGAACTGTCGCCCTCAGCTTCGCCAGAGACTCCTTAGAAACAACCGATATGGTGGGCATCCTCATGTGTATAACCGTTGATCCCACAGTCTCATCAACTCCATTTGCATCCATCCGAGAGCTGAGTGATTTCGCTCGAGAAGATGAAATTCTTTTCTCCATGCACACCGTTTTTCGAATTGGTGACATTCGAAAAATTGGCAAAAATAGTCAACTTTATGAAGTGGATCTTAAGCTTACATCAGATGATGACCAACAACTTCGTCAATTAACTGATCTTATACGACAAGAATTTTCAGGTAGCATGAGGTGGCATCAAATGGGCAAATTGCTAGTGAAGATAGGTCAATTTGACAAGGCCGAAGAACTGTATGCCGCACTTCTAGAACTGGCATCCGACGATGGTGATGAAGCAGATATCTATTATCAGCTTGGACTAATAAAACTGAACAAAGGACAATACAAAGAAGCTCTTCTATTTTATGAAAGATCCCTCGAAATCAAACAAAAAAGTCTCCCCGAAGACCATCCTTCCACAGCTGATACCTACAACACCATCGGTCTACTTTATGGAAGGATGGGCGAGTACTCGAGAGCAATACAATTTTTGAAAAAAGCACTTGAAACAAGAGAAAAAGGTCTCCTTCCCATTCATTCTGATTTGTCTGAATCGTACAATTACATTGGTCTTGCTTATGAGGAAATGGGTCACTACTCGGAAGCACTTGAGTTTTACGAAAAAGCATCTAAAATCTGCGAAAAAGCTCTGCCATCAAATCATCCCGACTTGGCTACTTCCTACAGCTATATTGGCCAAATGTACAACAACATCGGTGACTATCCGAAAGCGCTTGAATTGTACGAAAAAGCACACAACATCTATGAAAAAGCTTTGGTTGCAAATCATCCTGATTTGGCTACGTGCTACAGCTATATCGGTCAAGTGTACAACAACATGAGTGACTATTCGAAAGCACTTGAGTTTTACGAAAAAGCGCTTCAAATAAGAGAAAAAGCTCCGCCATCAAATCATCTCGACTTGGTTACCTCCTACAGCAATATTGGTCAAGTGTATAACAACATGGGTGACTATTTGAAGGCACTTGAGTTTTACGAAAAAGCATATAAAATCTGCGAAAAAGCTCTGCCATTAAACCATCCCGACTTGGCTACTTCCTACAGCTATATTGGCCAAATGTACAACAGCATGGGTGACTATTCGAAAGCACTTGAATTTCACGAAAAAGCACTTCAAATAAGAGAAAAAGCTCTGCCATCGAACCATTGCGACTTGGCTGCTTCCTTCAATAAGATCGGTCAAGTGTATAACAATATGGGTGACTATCCGAAAGCGCTTGAATTACACGAAAAAGCATACAACATCTATGAAAAAGCTCTGTTTCCAAAACATCCCGACTTGGCTACGTCCTACAACAATATCGGCCAAGTGTATAACAACATGGGTGACTATTCAAAAGCACTTGAGTTTTACAATAAAGCGCACAAAATGTATGGAAAAGCTCTGCCATCAAATCATTCCGACTTGGCTATCTCCTACAGCAATATCGGTCAAGTGTACAACAATATGGGTGACTATTCAAAAGCACTTGAACTTCACGAAGAAGCACTACAAATAAGAGAAAAAGTTCTATCTCCGAATCATCCCGACTTAGCTACTTCCTACAGCAATATCGGTCAAGTAAATGACAATATAGGTGACTACTCGAAAGCGCTTGAATTTTACGAAAAAGATCTAGAAATATTGAAAAAAGTTCTGCCTTCGAATCATCCCGATTTGGCTAGTTCCTACAACAACATCGGTGTAGTGTATGGCAGCATGGGTGACTACAAGAAAGCACTTGAGTGTTACGAAAAAGCCCATACGATCTACGAAAGAGCTCTGCCTCCGAATCATCCCTCATTAGCTACTTTCTACAACAACATCGGTGTAGTGTATGGCAGCCAGGGCGACTACTCGAAAGCACTTGAATGTTACGAGAAGTCTCATGCAATACTAGAAAAAACACTTGCGATAAGTCATCCTAACTTTGCCTCTTCCTACAGTAACATCGGTCAAGTGTATAACAACATGGGTGACTATTGGAAAGCACTTGAATTTTACGAAAAAGCACTTAAAATAAGAAAAAAAGCTCTACTATCAAATCATCCCGACTTGGCTACTTCCTACAGTAAGATCGGTCAAGTATATTACAACATGGGTGACTATTCAAAAGCACTTGCATTATACGAAAAAGCATTTGAAATAAGAGAAAAAGCTCTATCTCCGAACCATCCGGACTTGGCTACTTCCTACAGTAACATCGGTCAGGTGTACAACAACATGGGTGACTATTCGAAAGCACTTCAATTATATGAAAAAGATCTGGAAATAATGAAAAAAGCTTTACCACCGAATCATCCCAATTTTGGTGATTGTTACAATAACATGGGCCTTGTGCATGACAACATGGGTAACTACTCGAAAGCGCTTGAGTTTCTAGAAAAGACGCTTGCCGTTGAACTGAAATCACTTCCACCAACACATTCTACAGTAAAAACGACGATAGATAACATTGACCGTGTAAAAAGGAAGATGTAAATGTTTTCTTTTGCTTTATCAATAAATTGGTCCTGATCAATACTAACCATTGTGGAATTTTTTCGACTGATTCTTGCGTACGTGCCAAAGACCAGGGAGATTTCCTGTAGGTCTGAATTGGATATATGCAGACTAGATTATGCTGGTGGTGTACGGCAATGTGTGTCGATATGACTTACAAATAACGACGACAGCTACCTACGAACATAGGAACTTTTCCCAGTTCTATACAACTGTCACTATGATAGGTAAAAGGAGTCGACTGGGTTCAGCTTACGAAGCCACGCGTACGGTTCGTGATATAAGTTCGTACCTCTTCAGCATTTCCTACACAATAATATCATTAGAAGTAAAACATTAACATAGAATATCAATAATAACGATTAGGTGGCAAACAATAGAAAAAAAGAAAAAGTATTCAATCCGAAATAAATGATATGTCTACTTTAGCGAACAAACGTAGACGAGAATTTTTGTTGTTCACTAAGACTTCTCAACCCACCAATATGTTTCCCGCTCGATTAGAGAAAAAAACTTAATTTCACTAGAACCTGATTATTTGTCTATTTTTGTTCTTAATGAAAAAAAAAAGTATAAGCAACATATCCTATTTGAGATTCGAATATATAATGCTTAAATCAATTAAATAATGTTACGACTAGACCAAAACGATAACATCAACGATAGGTAAATAATTAATCATTGACATTGCATTTTTTTGCATCAATTACAAGATTGATCATCGAAGACGGACAGAAATCATAATCGATTGTCATGAAGTCAGTATTTGACAAAATAATAATTTTCATCGTTTCCATCGACGATCAATTTATCGTTATTCGTATTAATATTTTTGTTTCAATTTTTTTATAAAAGGCTCTGAGCAGTGAATGTCAGTGTATATGTATTTATTTTTTTTTGGCACCACATCTACAGCCATAAACGACCATCCATAAAGGACATCATGTAAAAATCGGCTCTGTCAGATCCTCTCGCGCCCTATTCGGATGTAATATTGTATATTTTATTTCTGTCTAATAGAATACCAAAGGACAATCAATGATTACTTGTTCTTTAAACTTTTTGACACTAGTTGACTCAATTAGTATCCTGCATGAATACGGCTTTTCATCATCGAGCTCGAACCAGAGCTCATCGCTATGTGGCAGATACTTTCCTTGTCATAGTACAGCTTTTAAACTTGTATTTTATGTGTAAAAGATGCTATTTTGTTTCTTCAATCAACAGCAACAAAAAAAAAGAGATCATCTCAAATTTTTCACACAAAGCAATTAATTCAGGATTCACTTAGTATCTTTCTGCTTTTAACATTTGATCTATTTCGCTAAGTATTCGTATAATTGTTGTTGATGATGTTGGAGTGGAACACAGTGTTAGTATCAAACATCATAATGGTAGATATATACATGGATGCTTTTTCCATCATGAGAATACATGTTCACGTTTTTGATAATTCATTTTTTTCTCCATGTATTCAGTTACTTTTGTCTTATAGTTCACTGTCATCATCATCTGTAGATAAATTTTCATCAATAATGAATTGTTTTAGTAAAACTATATCACTTTCCATTTCTATGATAATAAATTGAGGTCACATTAATTGCCGGAGCGGGTATGAGATAATGTCCAGGATCCAAACCAATTCGACGAATTTTTAGCATTAGAAGTCGGTTACTGGACACTAGACTTCTTTCATACGAATAATAATATACTAGTATCACTGCTGGGTTTGAAACCATAACAACATGAATCATTTTATTGATAAGATATCGAAAACAGATTTTCTTTTTTACTTTCAATTCTCATCAAGTATAACTTTATACAATCGACTGCATAACCTATGTGAATTTAAAAATATGTTTTGATTATATACTCATTCTCTTTTACTCTTTTACATTGTACAAGTCAACGAATGAGTATGAACAATACAATTACTTCGTATCATACGACATATATAGATGAATCAACAGCTATTGTTGAATTAATATCGAAAGATTATGATTTAACTGGTGCCATTTTATTTATTATTGTTGTTCTACTCTGGTATTCAATGGGTATGGTCTGTATGTTAGGTATGCAAATAAAAGTGCGCGATGAAACATTTGAATATTGTGAAAAACGTCGACCAAACATATTAATCGAAACTCTTCGTGATCAAACACATACGAAACAAATACTTGGTAATATACTTTTATTTAAAAAAAACACACATAATTATTATGAATATTTTAAAAATTTTATGTTCTTCCTTTTTGTTTTAGAAGAACTTGTCGATAAACAAAAACGTGATAAACTCTGGGATATTTATCTAGGTACAACAGAGAATAATAATGATAAATTAATACGTGATGAAATAAATCGTATAAGAAATATTGAAAAACAATTAGCTATTATAAATCAAAATCGTATACTTATTAATGAAAGTTTAATATCATCATCAACTTCAAATAATCGTATAAATTCTGATACACAATCAATAATTATACCTGATTTATCATCCATTGAAAATCGAGTACGTGTTCGACGTCGTTCATCATTAGATCAACAAATTATTGAACGATGGAAAACTCTTGTTGAACAATGTAAAACACATGAACAATTACCATGGACAATACAAAAATTAATGATTCGTCGACATTTTCGACGATATTGTAAAACAATGTTACGAGAACCTGAACATATAAATACATCAATGTATGAACCATCAGAATATGTTAATAATAAACAATATGATTTAGTAATGAATCGAAAAATGAATATGGAAAATTATCCACATGTTATTAATAAACCTGATCATCATGTTATTCAACTAGATAGTACTGATTGTCAATAAAATAAAAAAAAAAGCAAATATTATCTTGTTTTTGCACAAATATGGATTATCTACTTTGATTGACAAGGACCCTTAGTAAAACTTCGATCGATTTTAATTCTTTTTTCGATCATATTCATTTATAAAACTACATAAATCGTATTAGAAATAGATAAGAATTGTATATATTATTCAATTTCGATTATTAAATTGAAATAAAGTTTTTGATCTGTAAAAAAAAATATATATATATGATCAGAGTAAAGACTAAATGATCAGTCTTTTACTAGCGAAATAGATTTAGCTTTTGCTGGCCTACCCCCTTTTTCTTTGTTTGTATATATAACAGACCACTGTCATGACGTCAATGTTCGTTTTCGGACCATCAAATATCAAATGATTTTTTTCAATTAAATAAAAAGTAGTCCTCTTTTCTATTGTTATATTTATTTGAATTGACTGGTGTAATCGATTGTAAATTACGACGAGATATACAATAAATTTTCGAAGAATCATTGGAGATACAAATTATATCTTTTGTTGATGGAGCCTATTGATACGGTAAAGTTTATAATTCTAGAAACATTGCCGATTCTCTAGACAATATTTTCGTGCTAATGAAAGTAGTTAGCATCATCTATTGTGTTTTATCTCGTTCAAGGACAATTTAATGTAGACTATATAAATAAAATTTTTTTTTTCTGAATATATTTCATTTGGGAGAGCGATGGATATATGCATAATCGTTCAGATAAAGGACAGAAATTTTCTAACTAATCTTCAATGCTCGATGAATTCTGAATTGTCGAAGAAATTATGTCTAGAAATTTCAGGTTTCTGAAGTTTCAATCAGCGAAAAAATTACACAAGTCTTTTCTATCATCCGAACTGATAAGCAGTTCTCTTTCATATGAAAATAATCCGTGCTCTGCTGCTTGGTCTTTGGAAATCTCGTGAACATTAAAGTATGTAGATGTGAAATAGTTTTCATTATTCTACTTAATTTGTTTATCAATTTCATCTAGTCTAGAGAAAAGTTCGAATGAAAAATCATTTGTTGATCTCGCTTATTCTAATCAACAAAGAATAAAATCGTATACATCAAAAGCAAAAAAAGTTCATGTTAGCTTAACTAAAACACTGGATTGTGTATTATTTATTAATCATTATTATCTTCTACTTAAAACACATTATTTTCTTTTCTATTCTGCTTATGATGCAATAATTTCAATTTAAAATTTAACACTTCATGCATGTAGTCTTTCAAATACTGAAATTTCTTATTCAAATATAATTCTTCCATTTTTTAATCTTTTTTACAAGTCCTTTAATAGATTTTATTACTGATCATTCACGTTGTTTTATTTTAAGTTGTATTATTCTTTTATTTTCATTTATATTTTTTTTTACCAAATATTAAATCTCATCATATACAAACTAATATGTATTATGGTTATATATTAAATTTTTGGGCTAGTCAAGAAGTAGCAATAAAATGTGCAACAAGATAAGAATGTGGATGTTCATATCAAGCATATTGTAAAAATGAAAATGTTACATTTAATTCAATATTTACTATGAATTCAAATGCAATAGAAAAACATTTCAAATATGATGAAAATTCTATATGTGAAATTGATTATCGAGTACTAATTGATGAGTTATTTGTTAAAACTTTAACAGGTTAGTTAAAATTTAATTATTATACATAAGAAAAAAAATATAATATAATATATATATACATGTATGATTAATATTTATGAAGAGAATAAATTATTTCAAGCAAAAATGTGAAATAATTTATTCTATTCCATATTTTTGTCATGGTATACGATATCAACAACAAGTCATTTATGTTCTTATTTATTCACTTATATATATATTATTGGTTCAACATTACTTTCAAATGCAAATACTATTGGTATATCAATTGGATTTTCAGTTGTCATTCATTCTGATTTAATTGATAAACAATGTGTTTGAGGTACAATTTGTTTTGGTTTAACAGCTTTTTTTAGTAGTCGTCTATATAATGTATTTAAAACTGAATATGTCTATATTTGTATGTTTACAATCATAGCTCTTCTTACGATTATAGTTACAAATTTTATTTTTTTAAAAAACAATGAAGATTTAATGAAATGAAATAAACGAACATTTAATTTATTAACACTTATTCCATTACTTAGAGATTTTAGTATATTTATTTTTCTTTCGATTACATTCATATGGGACATATGTTATGGTTGTATGTATCTTGTAAGTTTGAAAATTTTTTATTTTCGAATAGTTTGTTTATTTATATATTGATGAAATAGTACCATGTCAATCACGATCGATTGTTGGTTGGATGTCCTTAGTATCAGTATTATCTGAAGTTTTTGGTCTTTATATGACTAGACGAATACTTAAATTTTTTGATACAAATCTATTATCAATAATTATCTTTCTAGTATTTTCTATTCGATTTGCTGGATATTATTTTATACAACAACTGTATTTTTTCATATTGATGGAAACAATGCATTTTTTTAATTTTGGTATTCTCTATGTTTTAATTGTTCAAAAAGCTGATTCGATTGGTAGATTTATATTATTAAATAATATCTAGTTTATTATAGTACACCTGATCTTTTCGGTGCACTACAAGGTATTGCTCATGGTATCTCACAAGATTTATTAAATATCAAAAGAACTTTCCAGATATAACAGTTGATAGTTATATGGGACTATGTACCTAGCCGAAAAGATGTTTTGTTTTGTTACTGAAATACTTGTAATCAGTTTTTTTAACAATATCAGATTGAATGCATGTAATAATTAGCACCGGTTTTCTTTTAAAAAGTGTTGTATCATGGTGTATTGTTGTCAAAAACAGATGAATATTTTTAGGGTCTATTCCAGTGGAATAGAAACTATTCATGATTTCTCTGGTCTACAATTATTAAATAATCATACACAACGTTATGTAACAAAAAATTTTGTGACTATACAAAGAAAAGTAGCGTTTTTAACGCAGACCTTAGTTTATATAGTTTGTGTCTTGAAATAAGTTCATCCGAGTAGGAATAAGCAAAAAATACAATCTAATCAACTGTTTTTCAATGAACTAAAAATGAATGGATATTTTTTATTAAGACTTTCATGCCAAGAAATAGTTTAAGATATTAGACGATTTTATCAATAAATGAAATTCTTCATTTATCTATATTGTTTTTCAATAACGGTTTCTTTTTCTTGTTTATATTATATTCAATCTTATTGCTGCTATTATTTATTCAGTTTATTTTTTTACTACAGTAGAGAAAATTATTTTGTCAATCAACGAGTTCATCAAATAATGATGATAATGATATTAAAACTGAAATTACGATGAAACTAGGTAAATAAATATAATTCAACATAATTTTAATACAAAAATCTATTTCATTATTTTTATTCTAGATGAACTAATCAACAAAGATTCTTTACCAATATCATCAAGAACAAAAATTAATAATAACGATTGATTGATAACTTATCTTGTTTTTTTTTGTTAAATAAAATCATCGAGGCAGCTCATTTATAAATGAGTTTCTTAGATTTAATTTTCCACGTTAAATCTCAATGTGATTCATTATATCGGTTACGTAAATTTGATTGAGTCATGAAAGACGGAAGAGAGTACCGCGTTAAATGAAACGAAAAATTTGTAAGTTTGTCAATAATCGAAAATGTGTCCTTTTTATGTCAGAAAAGTAACTCGTTTGGAAAAATTCAAAAATTTTTCTCTAAAAAAAGAAATCATCCGGAGAAAAAAAAACAAAAATACGTAAATATTGCCGATTAATTCGTTACGCTCTATTGAATCATATACAAAAGAAAAGATGAAAAAAAAAAGAAAATTTTCTCCTTTAATTTTGCATTTTTCCATATTAAACTTATATTAAAAAGTTCCATTGATTTTTTTTTTGCTATGAAAACAAAAAAAAAAGATTTCATATTGCAATAAAAACCAAGTTTTTTTATTTGCCTATTATATAATTTATTCAGTTGTATATAAAGATCAATTTTCCACTTGACTACATATGGTTACACTCAATAAAAAGAAAAACAACAACACATTCATGTAAGTAAAAACAAGTTATATATGACTACTATTATCAAAAAATAAATCTTTGATAATCTAAAATTATATTGCCTCTAAAAATTGAAATATCAAATCAATAATATATTTCTATTTTTATCACAACGAAAGAAAACAAAAATAGCAATGAGAATATGTTTTTGAATTCTCTTTCGAAAGCAAATAATGTTTATACACTTCATACACTTGATATAATGATTAATTACTTCAATAATAGCACAGAACTGTAATCGATACTATGTCAAGTTTTCATACCTTTTTTTTTTTTTTTCTTTACACAAAATGCCTATTGATTCATCTTGAAAAGAGTAATTTTTAGAATATTACGTATTTTATATGTAGTCTTTCTTAATATTTGTTATTAATTGAGAAATATTAAGAAAAAAAAAATAATATATTCATATTCTATTTGTTATCAGTTCAGTTTTCTTCTCTTTCTTCTTTTTTTTTTCTTTTATTACTCTATGATAAAGTCAGAATAATGAATAAAACATATGCAGATCAAAGTTCATTGGCAGTTTTATTTCTTTCCACTTAATATAAAATTAAATAGTGATAAAGAATGATTGTTATTTTACAACGATTTATTCTTTTATTTTCTTTATTTTTTTACTACAATATGACACATATATATCAAATATGATATTTACTATTAACTTGAAGAATTTTGATCTATTATTTTCAGATTTGAGATTAGTTTTCTATAAACCAAAAAAAAAAAAATGGAATCACCATCAATGTTAACACCAACAGTAAATGTACCTCGTCCAACATTTTCATTACCATCTGTTCATTCTTATTATATACTTTTAAAAGCACATTATTTTCTTTTTTTTTCGGCATTTGGTATTATATATCCAATATTAAATATAACATTACGTAGTCGTGGTTTATCAAATATTGAATTATCATATATTAATATAATTATACCATTTTTAGTCTTTTTTACAAATCCATTATTAGGTTTTATTGCTGATCATTCACGTCGTTATTTATTTACATTTAATTTTGTTCTTGCTATTGTTACTATTGTATATGCTGGTATATTTATTTTACCAACAATTAAATTATATAATATACAAGCTAATATAAATAATGATAAACAATATGGTTATATATTAAATTTTTGTGCTAGTCAAGATGTAGCAATAAAATGTGCATCAAGATCTCAATGTGGATGTTCATATCAAGCAAATTGTACTTTAATTAATTCATTAAATTATGAACATTATAATCAAATGAAAACATTTTTTTTTACATTTTCTATGAATTCAAAAAGTTTGAATAAAGAAATTAACAATGAAATTCATACAGACACATGTGGAATTAAATATCGAATACCTGTTGATCATAATATTAAACAATATATACAAAATAGTAGTTTTGGTAAATAAAATTTTTTCATTTTTTAATTTTTATCAAAAATAATTTCTATCTAGATCTATTTCCTTCTATGGATATATCATCTGAATTAGCTATTTGTGAAATAACTTGTTCAATTGCACATTTTTGTTATGGATCACGTTATCCTAATCAAATAGGTTCTATACTTCTATATTCACTTTTATTTATTATTGGAACAAATCTGCTATCGAATGCTGTTCCAATTGGTGCATCTATTGGTTTTGCTAATTTAAATCGTCCAGAACTATTTGGACAACAACGTGTTTATGGTACAATTGGTTTCGGTGTATCAGCCTTTGTTGCAAGTCGTGTTTATGAATATTTTCAAACAAATTTTGTTTATATAATTATGTTTTCTATTACAACAATTATATGTATGATTGTAACAAGTTTTATTCATATACAACCAAACAAACATATTTCAAATACAATATCTAATGAAAATATTATTGAAGAAAAACAAACAATAAAAAAGAAAAAATTTCATAGAGCATTATTTGAACTTTTAATTTTATTTAAAAAAATTGATATTATTATTTTTCTTTGTCTTGTATTCATATGGGGAATGTCTTATGCAGCTTTAGATCCCGTAAGAATATATATATATTTTTTTTTTTTATTTAAAAATATTATATATAATTTTATATTCTAGTATTTATATTTATATATTGATGAATTAGCACCATGTCAATCACATTCAATTGTTGGTTGGATGTCATTAGTAGCAGCATTATCAGAAGTTTCTGCATTTTTTCTTGCTGGAAGAATACTTAAATTATTAGGTACAAATTTATCATCAATAATTATTTTTCTAGCTTTTTCTATTCGTTTTGGTGGATTTTATTTTATACAAAAACCATATTTTTTTATATTAATGGAAACAATGCATTTTTTTAATTTTGGTATTCTATATGTTTTAATTACACAAAAAGCTGATTCAATTGGTAAAATATATAATATTAAATCATATTTTATTTATTTTTTATTTGTTTATTATAGCACCACCTGGTCTTTCTGGTACATTACAAGGTGTTGCACTTGGAATTTTATTTGGTTTAGGTATAGTTTTATAATTGAATTATTTGTTGTTGTTGTTTTCTTTTTTTTTAATATAATTTTTGAATAGGTCGTGGTATTGGTCTATTATTTTCATCATTTATCTATGCATTCACTCAACAGCCTTTTCTTTTTCTAATATTTACTTTATTTAATTTAATTGCTGCTATCATCTATGCTTTTTATATCATACTAAATAGACAATGTTCGAAAAAACCAATTGTAGAAAATAACAATATATCGAATATTGTGATTGAATCTGGTAATTATTAATAATTTTATTTGATTAGAATTTTTTAATCGATTTTCTATAGATATACAATTAAATGAAGAATCTCTATTAACATCATCAACTAAGAATTAATTACACAATGAAATATTGATGCACTATAGAAAAAAGAAAATTTTTATATTAATTCATTAGGACAAACAATTTTTCTTAGTCATCAGGTAATTTATGAGTAATGAACATAAATAAACATTGAGTTATTCTAATCAATATTTTTATTTTATGTAATTGTCAATGTGATGTTTATTTTATTTTTGTTCATATATTATATAGACAATAATTTGTATAATCTTGGTCGATTTTCTTTTAATTAATAAAAAAAATATGTTTCAGTTTTAACTTATATTGATTAATCTATTTAAGTATTATTCAAGTAATGATCGACGACATAAATTTTAGTTAAATTTAGATCATAAATGATACGAGAAGTTTATCGGAAAGTACGAAAAGTGTTATTCATCAATTAAATAATTCAAAAAAATCAGTACTGAAGAATTAGTCAAAAGTATATATTATTTTAAATGAAAAAGAAATGTTTCATTAATAATTGACTATATTTTTCTTGTCTGATAGATAGCGTAATTTGAAACGTTGTAATAACATTCTATAGACTAAAATGTATAATCAGCATTATGTAATTATTTATCAGAATGATGAAAGTTAGAATAATTTATTGTTTAGATTCTATTTGTAAATTCAAAATATAAACAGACTTTGAATAGTTCAATTTTCTAAGGTAAATTTTGTTCAAGAAAATTGATGAGTTATTGTCTGTTTAATCTTGTACTAAAGACTTACAAAAAATTAACTTTTTTATTAAAAAGTTTGTACAAACATCTTTTAAGATTTTTGAAGTTAAGACTTTCTCACATAGTAGATTATTACACAATCATTTCTTACAAAATTATAGATTATCTATATGTAAAACAAAGATATATAAATAAAATATTTTCTTTTTTTTCTTAACCATCTGTTAAATATTCACATTCAATGATTAATTTTATATTTATTATTGGCTATCTTAGTAGTGATAACGATAATAGTAAATTGTCTTATTTATAATTTAAAAAATGAAACATGAATAAATGACATATGAAAATTTAATTTTTATATTAAAAAATTATCATCATTATTTATATAAAAATATTTATCATATAATAAATATAATTATTATATTAATTGTTAATAATTCAGATATTTTATCAGTACGTATATTACATCCAGAATATGATAGTAATTGATGAAATGTTCAAAAATCAATTGAATGAAATAATCAAATACAACAACGAAAAAGAATTTATTCTAGATAGTACATGTCTAATTAAAGAAGAAAAAATGATTGGAAATTTTAAAAATCTATGAAGAATTCTCTTTGAATGAAAAAAAAAACCACCCATTTAATATAAGATTTTTATTCAAAGTCTTTTATCTAATTGTAAATAAACATATTTTTCTTTTTTTTTTTGTTACAATGTTTCTCATTTCTTGTTTGGATCAACAGATTTAATTGAATCATTATAAATTTCAAATATCCAATCTTTTTTTGGTGATGTTACACCATCAAATGGTGCTTTCAATTCAACTGTTGATCCATCATATCGTCGTACACGAATTAATTCAACTGTTTTATGACATTTTCCATCAGAATCACCATGTTCAAATTCTTTTTCATCTACACGTTGTTCTTCACCTCGAGCTACTTCAATATCAGCTATTTCAGCATGATGATCTTCAATACCAGCAAATTGAATTTGAACATCAACTTCAGCATCACTATTATTTTTAATTAAACATGCATAAATAGCTGCTGGTGCTCGAACACCGAATCCAACTTTTGTAGACATCTAAAGAAGAAAATTAAATCATTTTTCAACTTTTCTCCGAATAATTTATTCATAGTATTAATAATGTATCTTTGATGTTTTTTTTTTTCGAATTATGTAAACTATAATGATTCGATATATTTTTGTTCAATTAAAGTTTTAAAATCATTTGAATCGTAGCTTTTATAATGGAATATATTTAATATCATAAGTTTGTACCTGAAAACGAAAAAGTAGATAAATTAAAGATATGACAAACTACAACAAACCTAGAAGCTCTTAAAATGAAAGAAAAGAGAAAACACAAGGCTGATTACGAGTCGCTGTTTAATTCAAACCAACTACTAAAAAGAAGAGGAAAATGAATGAAAAGTTTAGTTATTTTACAAAGAGGTCGCCATAAGATGCCATTTATTCCAAATGATTTTTGAAGAAGTTTTATTTTACAGATAAAACTTTAAAAAAAAATCATTCTTATTGTTTGCTGACAGCTAATTAACAAACAAAAATCTAAATCTTTCATTTATGATGAAATAATTCTAAAATTTGCTTACGAAATCACGAAATAAATTTTTCAATAGAATTATAAAATAAAATATTTTTGTATACTCTGTTTATACTTGTCAAATGTAAGCATATTTTTCTTTTTAATCATAAGTAGATTATATCAAATACTATACAACAATGAAGTTTATTTAAATAATTTATGTAAAAAATTTGTTTTACTTCTCTAATATTATCCATAAGAGATTAGAAATAAAATACAAGAAAATGTTACATTTGGTATTTTCTCACTAAAATATCCATCAAAGGATGAAACATTTCATTTGAAAAAAAGATTATCCAGATCAAAAAATCAAAAGTATGATCTTACCATCTGATTATTTGATCTGAACATATACGATTTTCATATTATCTTGTATGATTATGAAAAACCCGCCACAGATGAATGCAATTCGCATATATATAATATAATAATAATGAACATACAATTTATTTACTAATACTTAAAAGAAAAAAAAACGACTAAACTTGATTTGAGTTTTGATCGATTTTTATGTTAAAATAATCATAAATCTCTAGTTTTATTTTGCCATCATCATTTATCAGTTAATGCAATAGATAGTCAACCTTTGTCAGTATAATTATTGCAGGTATATTGTACAATATCGAATTGTGCTACACAATCTTGATATCCAATAATATACATATGAAACGAATCAAAATATTGATACATTTCACCTAGATATATTTCCCTTAATTCCGATGATTATGCTGTAACTTTACAATTAATGTAACACAAAAGATAAAATAATAAATTATGAAAAAGAGTTTATTAGTCTCAGAAAATCTAAATCAAATTTTGATAAATCTTTTTAGAATGCATAGTATTTTCATAAATACTTGTTCTGTCATAAAAATAATTAACTCTTCAATGGTTTACTAATTTTCTTTTTTCATAAAAGATTCAACAGTTTATGACATTCGAACATATAATAAATCTTTAAAGGCTTTATGAAAACTTGATGTAAGATTGTTTATTTTACATTGCTCACCAAAATTGCAGCAAACATTTACACTATTTACTGAGATACAAAATTTAAGTAAAAAAGAGAATAATATTATTAACTATTGACTGAATATTCCTCATAAATGTATATAAAACAGTTTTTATGTATAATAAAATTTTTAACTTTTGGATCATTCTTTTTTGTATAATCGAAATCAATAACATTTCTAATATAATCATATGAGTCAATTGTCAAGTATGATTTATTACTGTGTTTGCATGTTCTTATCAAATATATTATGTATCCAAGAAAAAAATGACATCATCGTAAGGACACCTGAATGGCGTGTGGACGTTGGCTGCAGGTGTGTATAAGGATGTTTCCTCTTGAGTTACATTCACACTCATACGTAGCTAAGGTTGGGTGAAGCATAGGAAGAAGCATTCACATTCGCACTGACAGCTTACGCTCATACTTCAAGTAAATGTTGGTACGGTGATATCATGCGAGGAACTGTCATATCACCAAATAATAATTAATATAAGAGTTACAATGAATAATAAAAGTCAAGAATAATAATATTTTAATGAATCATTTTCAAGTTTGTGTTTCTATAGTAACACTCTACGAAGTCTTACGAAGAGAAAAAGGATGAAAGTAATATGATGTCATCTGACACTTTAGGAAATCTTCATATTGTTCTAGCGATTATATCCCTTTTTTTGATTAATTTTGCCTTTCTTGTTTCATTGAATCTTGTTCTAGGACTAAGAATAGTTCAGAGCTATTTCATAAGTTTTCTAAAAAGCTACTATAATACTTTGGCATTTTTCAATTTCTAAAGAAATAACCGATAACTAAGAATAAATTGGAATATTTCGAGTTTGATAAGAATTTTGCCAACACCAACAACAACAACATAATTTTCTTCGATTCTCAGATGCTTCAGAATAAATCTCTCCCAAAATTTATATATCGTTATGTAGGAAGCACAAAAAAAGGTTCTCTGTCAATATTTTCAATGAAAAATAAAAATTTAATCCATTAATAAGTAACCAAACAATAGAAGCGTTTTGTTTTTTTTATCTTGGTAACTATATTCATTTGTCTGACAAAAACCAATCTCAATAAAAGTATTCTTATCTTTACAATTACACCTACTCAACTCTGATATTCAGTTTTGATTCATCTGTATATATATATATATATATATATACGTATATGTTTTGTTGGTATTCGAGTAAAAGAGAGTATTAGAAGTTACAAAACTTATTTCAATAAAATCTAAGAATTTTCTTTGAAAAACAAACGAATCAGTAATGCCTTTAGGAGAACAGAACAGTATGCGTCTCATGGTCGCATTGGGTATAGCTGGTCTGTTTGGAATAATTACTTTTGCTCTTGCAGCTGCAACACTTGGTACGCTCAGCAAACGATTCAATGATCTTAATCAACAAGTATATGAATTGCAAGAACTAATGTCTAATATTAGTCAGCAATTATTTAATACCACTACAATAACGTCAACCTTGCTTTCGACTACAATTGACAGTACAAATGCAACTGATACTTCGATTGCAAGTACAACAATGATATCTATAAGTGATACTTCGACAGCAACTGGAACAACGGTTTCTATAAATAATACTTCGATAGCAAGGGAAACCACAGCCTCTACAAGTGATACTTCGATAGCAAGTAAAATAATGACATCAATAAGTGATATTTCGACAACAGATGATACTTCAATAGCAACTGGAACAACGATGGCTATAATTAATGATACTTCGGCAACAGATCAAACGATAGTTGTTAGTGACACTTCGACTACACAATAACTAAGAACAATAGCTTTAAAAAAATGCCACAGCGCTTGTTTTCTTGTGTGTGACTGATCATTGATCTTCAGATATGATATGAATCAACCATTCTCACATACTCTGCTTCCGTTTCATTCTCTCTTACATGTTGCTTTTCTCTACTCTGTTTTTAAATAAATAAATCATGCATCGAGTTATTCTATTATTTGCAATGACCATTTGTTCATCATCGCTCAATTCAATCTTGCTCGTAATCAATTAAAATAGAAAACTGAATCGAACGATTTTATAATCTGAACTTGATTATAGAACATAAGAACAACATATACAACCATATTAATCGGGACTTCGTTTTGTCTACTTTTCAATTTTACGTAATATTTATTTAATTATTTCGAAACATAGCGATATGTATTTTTTATCACGATTAAAGAACGAAGTTAAATGAATAAATAATTGTCTGTGGTTGAATCTTTTAAAATGAACATCTTTAGTATGATATTGACTAAATGCACTGGACAACATGATTTCTTTTTCTGTTGAAAATCTCTGTCTATTTAGTTTTGATGAATACAATATCGATATAAAAAACACAACAGCTTAAAAACTAAAACTCATTCACTTATCTTTGATATAAAAGATATTCGATAATGACGAACTCATAATGTAGTCTCATTATGAATAATGAATCTTCGATACCTTACGTTCAGAAGCATTCATTGGATATCAAATACCATAAAAGAGTTCTTTCGTCGAAACAAAAATACCTAAACTTTTCCGCTATTGATACAATATCTTTCTTGACTTATGCCAATTCCATGTATAGAAGAAACTAGTCAAGTACCATATTGATCATTGATGAAAACTAGAATATGTTTATAAAATTTGATTACTGCATTTGATTTTAAGAAATCTATTCGGACACTGTATGGAATGAAAATTTGAAAATGATTTTTTGTTGTTGCATAAATAACATCGAATTTTTATGAAAAGATCCTTGATTCCTTTTCAAAAAAAATTTTTATTGTTTCAAACTATAAAGCACGGGTGGTCATCATGCAGAAGAGCAATGTCGGAGACGTCGACTCATATAAAGTTCATTAGGCTCAAAGATCTTGTAGATAGTTATTTTCAAACTAGTTTCTTTTTTCATATCTATCTTCATTGTTTTTCATGATAGTCTAACATAAAACTACGCCAAATTGAAGCTCGAATCTGGTTATATTTGTGATAAAATTCCCAAAATTTTTCATGGGCATCTCGACTTCTTTTTGTTATGGGTTGGGATCGAAATATCCTGTTTTTAACACAAGTACAGTAGGTTTGCGCGGTAATTTGGCGTAGTCCTATGTTAGATTATCATGAAAAACCAATAAACGACAACAAAAAAAAATCAGTTTAAAAATAACCATCACGAAGGTCTTTGATATAAATGAATTTCATATGGTTTATGCAACGCAAGACACTTTAATTAAAATCCGACATTCGTATCTATAAGAGAACTACTTTTACTCCTCCCTGATTGATCACAATTTTGATGTTTTTTTGAAAATCTGGAATAAGGTCATCCAAGCACAATAATCAAAGTAGCGACTTGTCAGAACATTTTCTTCATGGAAAAATTCAGTTGTACATACACATTTGTTAATGAGTCACTACAGATATTTTGTATCAAATCACTACTGCATGAATTTCTCATTGAATATTTCTACCTGGGTGATTAAACGAAATCAATAAAAAAACATAGGTGTATTTGTGAGTATAGAAATCACTGACACTGAATAGTTTGTAACAGGATTATGCTTCTTGAACGCTTAGACTAAACATGCTGTCGCTACAATGTCTAACACTGTTCTAATAATGAAGACAAGCTCATTGAAGCTTTGATAAAATTTTTTATCTGTCAATAAACGACTATTTCGTTTTTATGTCGATTATTCTATTATCACATAACTTGCCAGAAAATGGCAATCAAAATAGGAGACAGTTGTTTTGAAAGAAACTTATAGATTCAGGGTAAGTCATACCATCAATGAGTAGTCTGATCACTCAAATATAAACCAAAGATTGTACTTTATTGACATGCTCATTTAGGATACATCTTTAAAATCAGTTCCTGTTTGTTAGAATTCCACCAACACGAACACTGCTGACTACGAAATTAGAATTCGGTCTTCTTTCTTGAATCATAAGCATTGTCAAGTAGCTAGGACTTTACGAGCATTGATCGAGACTTTTCATTTAAATTCTTATGAATCAAAGATAGGATATATCATGAAAACAACTTTGTATCATTTCATTTGAATGAATATTCTTTGGTTGAGGAATCCCTTATTAATACATTATTTCTCAAAACTTTTAGATTAAGCTATTTCAGTCTTGATTGATCCAATAGCCATGATTTTTGTGAATCTTTATAGAAACTCGTTTTCTCGTGAGCTACAGCGCAATATCCAAAAGATAAGAAATAGGATTGCTAATCTCTTGAACAATAATGAATAGAACCGTGATGATTACTTAGAGAATTGCAAATCGACCATCAATTTTCTCACAAGTTTGCCATTCATAACAGCTAAAGCAATGCATTTGCTACAACAATTTTTACAGTCACACACATCCATCTTCGTACATTTCTTCGTTGACATGAATGTAAGAATGAAAAAATCGTAGATATTATGTTTATTCTTTCTGTTGTCAATGATGAAACTGTCAAGAAATTTCTCTTTGTCAGTCGTTCAATATCCATCGATTCTGAAGCACGTTCTATAATTTTTAGTGAAACTTCTTAATCTAGACAACTATAAGTGATTGTCTATGTTTCAATAATAGCATTCATAGAATATAACAAAACACCTAAAAAAAAAACACATCACTGAATGAAAGAAAAAAACACGTTACTTAGTCAAAGCCATCCATGACACATATTCTGATTAAGAAAGAAGCAAACGGCTTCTTTTTTTTTTTATTCATACTTCACTTGTTGATATCCATTTGACATATTCATACAAATTTCAATAGCTCGTATAAGTTTACAAGTTGAAAAACATTCAAAAGTTGATTTGAATTCTGATCGAGTTTTATGTTATTATAAAGATACACCTACTTTAGTTCATTCAGATGATTCTACTCTAACTTCAAATTACTAATATCCCAGTGAAAATCTACGAGATTTAATTGGATGAAAAAGTCAAAGTCAACAGAAGTAGAGAAAAAAAAAGCACATTGTATTTAGATTTGTTAGCTGAAAAAAAAACTATATTCATTTTATATACATTGTTTTTCAAATAAATATCCAGTTATATTTGTCATTGTTTGAAAAAATAATATTTGTGAAAATAATATCAGTACAAATTGTCATGTTATTGAAAATAATTGTTATGAATAATAGAATTTTTATCTTGGATCGGATTATGCTTAATCGTAGTCAATATATTGTTAATGTTGTCATCTGACTCTATTATCAAGCATTATTTATTGCTATGTTTCCTTTTCTTATCAAGCGTATTATGCATCAAAGAGGTAAATAGTAATCGATGTTAAGAATTTGATGAATAAGAAAAGTCAAGAATAACAATATTTTAATGAGACATTTTCAAGTTTATGTTTCTATAGTAACACTCTACGAAGTCTTATGAAGAAAAAAAAGATGAAAGTACTATGAAGTTATTTGACACTTTAGCACTATTCATATCACTGTTTATCATATATTCTATGATCAACCAAACATATATGAATTTGAAATCTTAATACCGTTGTAGCAATCATATAACTTTTTCTTGACTAATTTTGCATTTCTGGTTTCATCGAAGCCTTCTCTATAGCTAAGATTAGCTGAAATATATTTAATAAACTTTTGAAAAAGCTGATATAGTACTTCGGCATTTTTCAATCTGCATAGAAGGAAGTGATAAACAAGAATAAATTACAATATCTTGAGTTTGATACGAATTTTACTTACAACATCAACAGCATAATAATAATAATATCATTCAATTCTGAGATACTTCACTATAAATCTTTCTCAAAACTTATGTATAGTTAAATATGATATAGAAAAATGCAAGTTCTTGATTTATGTTTTTAATGAAAAGTACAAATTCAATCCACTAATAAGTAACGAAGGGAACAGAAAAATTGTTTTTGTCTTGATAACTATATTCAATTCTGACAAACATCAACCTCAATAAAAGTATTCTTATCTTTATAATTACACCCACTCAACTCTGACATTCAGTTTTGATTCATCTATATATATATATATACGAATATACTTTGTTGGTATTCGAATAAAAGAGAGTATTAGAAGTTACAAAACATATCCAATAAAGTCTAGACATTTTCTTTGAAAAAGAGCAAATCAGTAATGGCTTCAGAACAGGGCAGCACGCGTATGATGCTTGTATTGGGTATAATTGCTCTGTTTGGAATAATTACTTTTGCTCTTGCAGCTGCCACACTTGGTACGCTCAACAAACGATTCAATGATCTCAATCAGCAAGTAGATACACTTCAACAACAACTGTCTAATATTGCCAACTTATTAACTACGACAACTACAACAAGCATAACTACAACTTCGGCTAACGCTATGAATGAGAGTACTATTACAATGTCAATAACCAATATGTCTTCAGTAATGACAACGACAACAACCAGCACTGCACCTATAACTGGGTGACCACTACAACAAAGACAGGTACTACAACGACAACTTAACCAAGACGGATAGTCTAACTCAATACAGCAACACTAGCTGCGTTATTTATGACTGATCATTAATCTTTGGATATGCTATGTGTCTGTCATTCTCTCATTTTCTCTTTCGTTTTGACTCTTTCTAATATGTTGCTTATTGTTTTCTTTGTTCTTGGATAAATAAATCTTGCATCGATTTATTTTATTATTTGCAATGACTATTGGCTTATCATCATTCAATTCAATCTTGTTTGTAGCCAATTAAAATAGGAAATTACATCGAATGATTTTTATAATCTGAGCGTGGTTATAGAGCTTAAAAA